CCAGCCTGTGGATGGTGCTTTGGTATGACTAGTACCGCTTTGGTATGACAAATGTGTGCTGTCCGAGTGGTTCCGGTTGGTGCCGGGGAGGGAGGCTGTGTACATCTGTGTGTGGTTTGGGTTCCTGGGATGGCTGTATGTGCTGTGTGAGTGGCTGGGAGGAGGGCAACCATTGTGTAGTTTGTATGTCGCCTCCTTAGTCTTTTCCAGTGTGTTGGCTTTGTGCGGATTCTGTATTTGTGTTTGCACATGCACGTTTGGTTGTGTGTGAATGTGCTGCTATCATGCTGGCTGTGCCTGCTGCACACTCATGGGGTGCTGGATCAGTGCATCTATATTCTGCTGTGTGGGTGTATACAACAGTGTGCTGCCTTAAGGTTTGGGAGCTTAAGATAGACGCTCCCTGGCATAGGCTCTGCCCTTTCTCCTTGTCACTGGAGACACTGGGGGATGGGGGCAGCAGTCCTTTGTCCAGCCACAGGAAGGCCCCACCCCCTCCATCTGCAGGGACCTGGGGAGGGGCCCAGACTACCAGGCTCCAGACTCCCGCCCATTGTTCTAGGGTCTCTTTGGGAAACTGGGGTGGATGGCAAAAGGTGAGTCCAAGCCTGGACCATCCCACTCCCTAGAACCACCCAGAAACCCAGCCTGGAACCCCTAGGGTAAGGTTGACTATGGACCCCATTGTGCAGATGGAGAAGTTGAGTCCAGAGCAGAAAGAGATGATTCTGTGAGTGATAAGGCCAGATAGGTCACAGCCTTCACACACACCTCGTGTGCAAACTCCCCACCACCACCACCACAACCTCCTGCTGAATCTGGGGGCTAGATAAACGAGATCCTAGAAAAAGATACAAAACTGTCTGTCCTGGCTCCCATTTCAGAGTACTTCTTGTGAGCTAAACATTAACCCTAATTCTGGGTTAAGTTCAACTTTTAAATTTTATCTTGTTATTGTATTTTATTTATTTATCTAGTGTGCATGCACTCGTGTGGAGGGCAGAGAACAACCTGTAAAAGCTGGTTCTCTCCTTCTCTCATGTGGGCAGGTCCCAAGAACAGAGCTCAGGTTGTCAGGCTGGGTCCCAAGCACCTTTCCCCTTTTCCACTGAGCCATCTGCACAGGCCCAAGTTCAAGTCTTGTCCTCATTTTGCAAATGAGGAAACTGAGGGCCTTGGAGGAACAATTCACTATTTAGCTAAAATTATCTAAAAATTACTCAGCTGCAAGTATTATGCTGTTTGAGCAAACTGTTCACCTTTCCTGAGCTATGCACTTCTTCAGTGGGTCTCTAATCCTGCTCCCCTGACCCCCTCAATAGGGTTTACTATGCAATCCAGGATGGCCACAGACGGCCAGCTCTCCAGCTGCCTCCACCTGGGTGCTGGGGTTACAGGTTTACCATGCCCTGTAAATCCTGCTTGCTTTCCAGAGCTCATAGCCCAGTCAGTGGAGGATGGGAAAAGGAAGTAGATAATAGAGCACGAGACAAAGATCACTTTAGATAGCAAAGGAAAATAGCCAAGGGTGTTCTGAGGTCTCCAGTGAGGAGGAGACCTTTGACCTGGGACCTCAGGGTGACAAGCCTGCAGAGATCTGGCTGGTAAGTGCTCTAGGCTGAGGGCACCTCCAGGGCAAGGGCCTCAAGACCGGATGGAGCTGGTTTAGAGGAAGTCAAGATGCTGGAGAGAGAAATGGGAGGACAGGACATGGGCTGGGTGGGGAAGGGGGAGGGGTGAGCGAAGGGGAGGAGTTGGGGTTCTGTTCTTGGTGAGATGGGCACAGACACTGTGTTGGCTGGACCAGAGTCCTGGGGTGGGATGGGGGACTATGTAGTCTCTAGTTACAAGCAGGGGTGGGGACAGCCAGAGCCCAAGGTCTTTCCCCAAAGCTCCCTCAGTCCCAGCCCAGAGGCGCCGGCCTGGCTGCTGGAAGACTTCGCTGTGGGCACATCTGGGGAGCAGCTGCCGGGCCAGGGCCAGAGCAGGTCACGTGGCACCAAACAGGCCCGCCCTGGAGCCTACAGAGCCAAGACTATGGGAGAGGGCAGTTGAGGAAAAAGCTGGAAGTGCACATGTCCACAGAGACACGCTGCAGTGGGGACTTCCACGCAAAGTCTCCCCACGCCCCCACACGCCCACACTGAGAGGCAATGCCACCTCCGCACTGTGTGCCCCGAAGCTGATCACACTGTGTGCCCCGAAGCTAGTCATTCTGCAGATAGGACATGAAGTGACTGCTCATTCTGTGACTGGTCCCAGGGCCTCTCTGATGTGACAGGCCCTGTAGCTGAGCTACAGCACTGGATGGAACAGCTGGGCCCCTGCCCTCTGGCTTAGGCTAATACTTAGAACAATGCCTGATACTGAGGGAGCACTAGGTTACTCTGAGCCATTTGCCTGACAGAAAGGGAGGCCTGTGACAGGAATCACCCTGGAGGTGTGATGGTGCCCTGCCTTCATTCAGCACGTTTCTCCTGTGCCTCTTCATAGAGTACAAGACGGAGCACACTCACACTGCCTTCCCCCTCTGACGGAGCACACTCACACTGCCTTCCCCCTCTGACGGAGCACACTCACACTGCCTTCCCACTGTGACGGAGCACACTCACTGCCTTCCCACTGTGACGGAGCACACTCACACTGCCTTCCCACTGTGACGGAGCACACTCACACTGCCTTCCCACTGTGACGGAGCACACTCACACTGCCTTTCCCCTCTGACGGAGCACACTCACACTGCCTTTCCCCTCTGACGGAGCACACTCACACTGCCTTCCCAATGTGACGGAGCACACTCAAACTGCACTCACACTCTAACGGACTGTCTGATGGGCCAAAAGAAAGCAGCTCTTCCCTGAGTTCTTACATCAGGTACTCTGTCTCAGTGATGAGAAAAAATAACTAATACAAGAAACCACCCCAGCCAGGAAGCCTCCATCATGTCAGGCCCAGTGACACACACTGAGTCCCAGCACCAGGCTCTCTGGTAGTCTCAGTGTGGTGACCGTCATCTGCAGTACCAGCCACTCCAGAAGGATGGCTTGAGCCCAGAATTCGAGACCAACCTGGATTGTACCTAAAAAAAAAATACTGGGGCTAAAGAGATGTCTCAGAGGTTAAGAGCACTGGCTGCTCTTCTAGAGGAGTAGGCTTCAGTTCCCAGCAACCACATGGTGGCTCACAACTGTCCGAAACTCCAGTTCCAGAGAATCTGATGCCTTCTTCTGGCCTCAGAGGGCACCAGGACCTCACATGGTACACAGACATACATGCAGGCAAAAACATCCATACACATCAAATAAGAGGAGAGATGGGGTGTATCAGCTCATAGAGCTTTCCTGGCATGCACAAAGCCCTGGGTTCGATCCCCAGCAACACATAAAGCAGACATGGTGGGGCATATCTATAACCCCAGAGCTCAAGAAGAGCTACATAGTTAAGTGGAGTCCGGCTTGGGCAAGTGAGACCCCCGTCTCAGGAAGGAAAAGAACAAAAGAAAAGAACTCCTTTTGTCATTTCTTGGGCATCTACTTAGATGAGTTGATCTTGTGGTCCTGCTGGGGGAAGAATGGCAAGCACAGAGCCAGCTGAACAGGTGATAAGGCCGTTTCAGGGCTGGAGACAGAGAGGAGCAGGTAGGAGCACCTAACATGCAATCCTGAGATCCTGAGTTCAATCCCCAGTAGCCATGGTGGAAGAAGGGGCCACGGTGGAGGGAGGGGACCACGGTGGAGGGAGGGACCATGGTGGAGGGAGGGACCATGGTGGAGGGAAAGAACGAACTCCAAGTTGTTCTCGGGCCTCTACATGCACAGAGCTTGCACACATCTGGGCTTCCACACCCTCACATACTTCAGTTTTGGGATTCAATTGTCACCTCATTTCTGTTTCCCCTACTGTGTGCAAAATATTCTTGGCTTTGACCTCATCTCAGCCAGCAGTCAGGCCTGTGAGGTGGACCTCTATACAAAGGAGCATAGAAATATATTTTTCTTTTTCCTTTTTTCCCTCTTTCCCCCTATTCCTCTTTTACCTCTGTTTCTGTTGAGAGTGAATCCAGGGCCTGCAACACACTGAAAACTTACTGCACCACTGAGCTACACACAGCCTTGTATACATTTCTGTTCAAAACCACATTCATAGCCAGGCATGCTGGCACATGCCTTTAATCTCATCATTCCAATTTCTATGAGTTTGAGGCCAGCCTGGTTCGAGAGTTCCAGGTCAGTCAGGACTACACAGTGAGAGATCCTGTCTCACAAACAAACACATGCATTCGGAACCTGGTGTGGTGGCTCACACCCAAAATCCCAGCACTGGGGACTGGAGATGCAGAGGCAAGGGTCAGGAGTTCATGGCTAAACTTTAAACTTTGCCTACATGGTGTGTTTGAGGCCAGACCTGAGGCTTTGTCGCCTGCCTCATTCTTTCCTAGTCCTCTTAACCTTCTCACAGGACCAATCCTTCCTTATTAGTTACAGTCTTCCTCCCTCAGCCTTTGGTGGGACAGGGAGTTGAATCCAGGTCTTCTTCACATGCTAGACAAGCATTCTGTCACTGAGTTACATCTCCAGCCTTTTATTTACCACTGCCCACCCCAGACTGGCCTGGAACTCTCTATGTAGTCAAAAGCAGCCTCCTACCTGCAGCCTCCCACCCACCTGCAGTGATTTTTCTGCCTCTGCCTCCTGGGGGCTTGGGATTACAACCATCAAGGCTTGACCCTTTAACCATGTTTAAATTTGGGGCCAGGTATGGTGGTACATGCCTTTAATCACAGCACCTGTGAGGAAGAGTGGATCTCTGTGAGTTCGAGGCCAGCCTGGGCTACATAGTGAGCCCCATCAAAAATTAACAAATAAACTTTTTTTTAATGTATGTATTTTTTTACCTCTAAAATTTAAAATTTGAGACAGGATCTTCCTCGATTGCTCTGACCAGCCTTGAACTCGATGTATAGCCTAGACAGGCTTCAAACTTGCAATCTGTCTTCCTTAGCTCCCAAAGAATCCTGCTAGGATTGCGGGGCTGGTGCCACCAGACTGCATCCCTCTCCAGACAGCACAGCAGTGAGTATCTTTGGGCAGGGAGCTCTATGCCTGTCAGTGTAGGTTTCTCTAAAATTGACTACAGTAGAATCTCTGGGGCGATGAATAATTGTTAGTAATTAATTAACATTCCAGTTCCCTTCCTTGGCTGCCCAGTGCCTTTCTAGTCCTTTTAGCAAGTCTCTCCTTTTTAAAATTAATTGTTTAATTGTATGTTTTTATTTATTTTGTGTACAGGAGGAGGTGTCATATGCATGATGATGAGCATTTGGAAGGCTGAGGACAACTTGCAGGGCTCACATCTACCGTGCGGCTTCTGGGGATTGAACGCCTGCCTTTAGGCTTGGGAGCAGGAGTCTTTCTTTACTGACTGAGCCGTATCACCGCCAACCCCAAGCAATTCTTTTGAGCAGTGCAAAGTTCAAACCTCTTGTGATCCGATTGTTAGCTGTTCGGTGAACAGTATGTAAGGAGTTGGGGAGGAGGGAATTCAGCTCCTTAGTGATATGCTGCTTTTTCTTTTCTTAGAACAGGTTGACCTCAAATTCCTAACCCTTCAGATCCTTCTGCCTCATTGTTTGGGGACTGCTGGGATTACAGATGTGACAGTCTCTCCTTTGAAGCTGGTTTCACTTGCCAGTTTTCCTGGTTTTCTGAGGTACAGCGGGCAATGGGCTGTTCATTGTCGCACCAAATATCTGTATGAATTCATTGCTATGGGGAGGAGAGACTATAATATTGCCCTCTCCTAGGGAGCATACAGTATTTTACCCTTGTTTCTCAAGGTAATTCTGGGGTGACAAGTGACAAGCCTCAGTTTCCTGCTTCTGGTTGTCTAGGGCTCTGGAGTCAGGTGGCCTGTCCTCTTTGGGAGCGAGAGTGAGAGACAGGCTCTCACATACATACACCATATACTAGCCTGGCCTTGAGCTCAATGTGTGGTTTAGGACAAACTTTTTTTGTTTTGTTTTGGTTTTTGGTTTTCAGTTTTTCCAGACAGGGTCTCACTGTGTACCCCTGGCTGTCCTGGGACTCACTCTGTAGACCAGGTTGGCCTGGAACTCACAGAGATCTGTCTGCCTCTGCCTCTTGAGTCCAACCATTGTCCAGCTAGGATAAACTCTTGATCCTCCTAACTCTACCTTCTCAGTGCTGAGGTTGCAGGCATGTGCCCGCACACAGGTTTAGGGCATTCTGGGGACAGAACCCAGGACTTCCCGAATGCTAGGCCAGCAGTCTACCAGCTGAGCTACATCCTCTGTGACACTATGTCCTTGATGTTTCCAGGACAATAGCTAAGGTTCCTGGGAGGTTTTTAACCCCCTGTTCTTTTGTGAATAAACTAAACAGATCGGTCTTCAGTGCTATGGAGGGAACTACGACAGATGAAGGCAAAACTTCACACAGCTCTTGTTCCGAGAAAGAGCTCCGGGACTGGTCGTGGCTATTATCGAAACCAGGCAGGGTAGGGCAGAGCAGAGCGTACACCTAACACCACGACCCTTCTATCTCCTTCAGGTCTCAGACTCTCCTCCACCTGAAAGGAAGATGTTCCTGGTATCGCTCCCAGTTCAACGGACCTAGATAGGTCCTGGTCCTAGGAACTTCACGTTCATTTTTCTGGAGACTGAGTCAGCCTCGGAGTCCAGAATAAAAGAAGGCCTGCTTTAAAATCTGTCCCAGAACATGACGTGACAGAGCACACCTGTAATCTCAGTGTAGGAATCCAGCTCAGCTGGGGAGGGGCCTCGGCCGAGAGGAGTTTAGCGGGGAGAAGGTTTTCTCACACGAAAACCTCCTAAACCACCCGAGCTGTGGGGCTGGGTGGAGGAGACTCAGCAGGTGTGGGGCGGGGAGGTAAGTTGACCCTTGGTCTGCGGCCGCGCCCACGAGGAACGCATTCCCAGGCCTCCCGCCCAAGGTCTGCAGGTGACAGGCTCATGGGAGGGGGGGCCAAGCGGAGAATGCTCCGGCCCAGTTTGCCGTCTCCATGGCGACCGCCCGCGCGGCGCCAGCTTGACAGCCCGTCCGGGTTTTATGAATGGGTGACGTCACGGGCCTGGCGTCTAACGGTCTGAGCCGCTTGTTCAGACGCTGACACAGACCAGCCCGGGAAAGGAAAGGGAGGGGGTGATCTCCGCAGCTGCTGCTCTGTGGGAGGGAGAGCTTGCTCCGAGGGCTTCAAGAAAAAGAAAAAAAAGAAAAGAAAAGAAAAGAAAAAAAAAAAGCTAGCAAAAAGAAGAGAAAAAATTAAAAAAAATACATGTCGCCAGCTGCTGCAGATTTGGGACCTTTCTGCAAGAGGCTGCAAATCCAAGGTAGAATTGGGGAATGTAGTCTCACTCTCCAGCGACCCTTCTATCTACTTCAGGTCTCAGATTCTGTCCTCCACTTTAAAGATGTTCCCGGTATTGCTCCCAGTTCAATGGACCTAGGTCCTGGTCCTAGGGACTTTACGGTTCATTTTCTGGACGTTGAGACCAGCCCCGGAGTCCAGAGTAAGAGAGAGCCTGCTTTAAAATCTGTCTCAACATGATGTGGCAGAGCACTCCTGTAAACTCAGCACCTGGGAGCTGGAGCAACCAACGAGCATCATGAGTTCAAGGTCGTCCTCCTCCGCTACACAGCAAGTTCTGAGTCCAGCCTGGGTTACATGAGACTCAGTCTCAAGACAAACAAAAAACAAAACAAAACCCTCAAAAATAAATAAACATAAAAATAAAATTCGGCTTTGATAAGTGGAGATCATAGCCCAATCTTCTGACAGCATCTGGGAATCCTGGGCTAGTCCTTAGCTACTGACTGCCCCAGAGCCAGCCACTTCTCCGGTCCTGTTTATCTCATCTGCAAAATGGACCTGGAGAAGCTAGAAAGCGACCACGAGAAGCTGATTCCTGAGATCTTTTTGTTATCTGCAAAATTGGCTTAACCTCTTTGGCTTCTTTAAGGACGAGCCCACTAGCTGCTCTACCCATGCCCTCCCACCCTCGCTGTTCTTGAGCTCCACCACCTTTCCACCAGCCCAAGGGTGCTGGGAGCTGGGACCCGAGGGCGCGCTAAGCCACGCCTCCAGACCAGCCATTGGTTGCTTTTGAACGTTCTGAACCCGCCCTGGGTCCGCCCTTATAAAAGACTGGCTCCAGCGCTCAGCCCTCTCATTGTACAACCTCCCTCCAACTTCTGCGCTCTCTCCCTGCACTTCCCTCGTCGGCTCCTCCGCTCCCCTCCGCCTGTCCTCAGGATCATGAAGGTCGCCAGTGGCAGCGCCGCGGCCACCGCGGGCCCCAGCTGCTCGCTGAAGGCCGGCCGGACCGCGGGCGGCGCGGGCGACGTTGTGCTCGGCTTGTCGGAGCAGAGCGTAGCCATCTCGCGCTGCGCCGGGACGCGCCTGCCGGCCCTGCTGGACGAACAGCAGGTGAATGTCCTGCTCTACGACATGAACGGCTGCTACTCACGTCTCAAGGAACTGGTGCCCACCCTGCCTCAGAACCGCAAAGTGAGCAAGGTGGAGATCCTGCAGCACGTTATCGACTACATCAGGGACCTGCAGCTGGAGCTGAACTCGGAATCCGAAGTCGGGACAGCCGGAGGCCGGGGGCTGCCCGTTCGGGCTCCGCTCAGCACCCTGAATGGCGAGATCAGTGCCTTGGCGGCCGAGGTGAGGTTCGAGTCGGAACATTACGTTATTCTCCTGCGGATGGGGAAACTAAGGCCATGGGGAGGGGTTAGCAGTATGTCTGCCTTCCATTTCGGGTGCATAGCGATTTAGGGGCCCCCAATAAGAAAAAGGTGGCTCCTTCGTCGTGTCCCTTGGAGTGAAGAAGTGGGAACGCCTCTCCCTTTCTTGTCCCTTCCATCCTGTCTCATCCCTTATCTCGCTCTGGTATTCACAGGCGGCATGTGTTCCAGCCGACGATCGCATCTTGTGTCGCTGAAGCGGCGCGCTGAGGGACCAGATGGACTCCAGCCCTTCAGGACGCAAGAGGAATAAAGTGCTCTAGGTTCCCCAAGGGAGCCCGGGAAAAGACTACCGCCGCCACCGGACTCTTGGCGGATCTGGCCAGGGGGCTAGAGGGTTGACCAGCGGAGGCTCACCCTTTCTCCACCTTTCAGCACCCAGAGACTTTGGGGAGGGGGTTAACCAACCCCGTGTGTTTCTATTTTTTGAAAAGCAGACATTTTTTTTAAATGGTCACATTTCGTGCTTCTCAGATTTCTGAGAAAATGTTTTGTATTGTATATTACAATGATCACTGGCTGAGAATATTGTTTTACAATAGTTCTATGGGGGTGGGCTTTTTGTTGTTATTAAACAAATACTTTAGATAACGTTGCAGTGACTTCTTGGATGGGGGGAGGGGCCTGGGGCAGGAGTGACCTCTGACCATCTTCACAGCTGGTGTTGAGAGCGAGGAATTGGAGGGCCACATCTGGACTGCCATTCCTACCGACCTGAATGAGTGTTTCCGGTGTCTTTAATGTCTATTCTTTCCCTCATCCCTGGCCATTTCCCTGTTCTCTAGTGTCATAAAATTAAATCCTCTAGACCTCTAGTAGGGTTTCTCTCAAAGTGGTCTCTGGGCCATCTGGATCACCCAGGGAGGTTGTTAAAATGCAGATGGACCTGCTGGGTCGGCTCGCTCTGGGCTGGGGCGTATTCAAGCCATTCAAGTTGGAAATGCAGGTCACTGGACCATTCACTTCCTTGCCAAGGGCAGGGGTGTGTGTGGCTGTGGGATGACACCTAGTGAGAGGGGCCTGCACAGGGTCGTAGCTTGCCTGAAGCAGGGCTTGTGTGGCCCTCTCTTCCCTGCTGGGCCACCCTTCTCTGGGTGCCAGCAGGCTGCCTTAGGGCTCCTGCCTTGTCCAAGTGGGTGATGAAATTGGCAGGGTTAGGGCTGTGCACAGCTGCAGGGCCACCTGCTCTGGGTCTGAACTCGGCCCCCTCACCCTGGCCTGGCTCTGCTAGCAGATCAACATTTCCCCTGAGGCTAGTGTGGGGGCGAGTCTTGTCCCTAACTCCTGAGAAGGGAAAAGGTTTTACTCAGGTTCTGTCTACCTGGACATGTAGCTTTGTGCTCACCAGGGGAGTGCACAAATATCTGGGCTTGCCTGTGTGTGACCTGAGGAACTGGGGCATCTCTCCTTGGGGTCCGGTAGTGTTTGCAGGTAGCAAGGCGGTACACGCAAATGAGCACATGGGTTCTGCAGACTAGTGTGTGCCCTCCAGGGCTTTGCTTGGGTGCATTGTGCTCATATCTGCCTGGCTCTGGGTTGGTAGGTAGTGTGTATGTTATGGGCTGTAGAGCCACACTGGGCTCCTTTGTAACTAGATTGCTTGGCATTTATTTCTAGGCCACTGCAGGTCTAGGGCAACAGTGGGATAGCTGTGTGTAGGCAAACCATTTCTCAAAAGTACAATTCCCACCTCCCTGGCCAGCTGTGAGTTAGACCTTGGGGACACTGTCCTTTGAGTATCCCTGCCAGGTTAACTCCCATAGAGAAATGGAGTGCCAGAAAAGGCAAAGACCTTGTCCCCAATAGTAAGAACGGTTGATATAATTTGCCACTAAACAATATTAACCAGTTGTGCTAAAGCATGGTGTTAGACAGCCTGGTGTGTGTAGCAAGATCCAGGCAACCCAGAGCTACACAGGGAGACCCTTTCTCAAGTTACAAAATAAGGATTAAAACCCAATAAACAACACCTAGAGCCAGGAGCCAGACTACTCCTTTGCCTGAAGGACTTCATGGATTCCCCACTGGGGTTAAAGGCAGAACTCTGAGCCCAGTTATATCACTGAAGAAATAAGCTGAACAGCAATAAAATTCGGAAATATTTATAGAGCACTTACCTTAAGTTTGACTAAGTTACGTTAACTTTAACACTAAGCCAGGTACATAAAATGATCTCAAGCATTTGATGGACTTTACCAAACAGCGCAGTATTTGTAGGTGGTTAAACCTTTGCCGCACCCTCTCCACCTGGCGGTTTTATAGTACTAACCTCACAGAATTGTCCAGAATAAATGAAATCCAGCACAGAGTTTAGCACACTGCCCAGTACATAAGACAGAAATTATTAATCGGAGGCACACACGTGTGCACTCACTTCCTCACCATGTGAGTCCACCACCACCACCACCACCACCACCCCTCGCAAGCCCACCCACCGGGACGTGGGCGTGTCCCCGCGTGCACCTCTACCCTGCAGAGCCTTTTTCTAGCCCAGGAAGGGGCCACTGCGCCCCTGGCCACTTCCCCCGCCATCCAGGCACACTCTGGCTTCCACGTTTCCCTCTCTTCCTCTTTGGCCCGGACCCAGCCCATCTGGAGGCCGGCTCCGCAGCAGCCTGGGAGCGTTTCCATCAGCTGGGCCCGAGGAATGCGGAGCTATTTAACCTGAGCATCCCCAGGTGTACGGAGGCGCCTGGCTGTCTGGGCCCGCCGACTTTGGCACGGCCGCGCTAGACAAACAGCGGCCGCCCCCGCCCTGCCCCTCCGCCCGCAGCTGCAGCCAGGCCTGGGAACGGGGCGGGCGCCGGCAGCTTGCATAAGAGATACCAAGGAGGGAGGGGGCCAGAGGCCACCAATGTGTGTGCATATCCCAGTTGTGTGTGTACCCCAGACCAAGGGCCAAAGGCCACGTGTGTGTGTGTGTGTGTGTGTGTGTGTGTGTGTGTGTGTGAGAGAGAGAGAGAGAGAGAGAGAGAGAGAGAGAGAGAGAGAGAGAGAGAGAGAGAGAGAGAGAGAGCGCCCCAAACCCAGGGTCAGAGGCCACGAACGTGGTGTGTGTGTGTGTGTGTTCGCGCGCGCGCGTGCACAAGCCAAACCTTCCTCCTTTGGAAATCATTAACATCTCAAACCCTCCCAGACTCGGTGCAAAGACTGAAAACTCAGGGTCCTCTTTATTTAACAAATGCAGAGTGCTTAGTATTTGCTAGGCCTTATCCTACACTGGGTCTTAGACAAAAGGCCAAGACGTGATTAGAGACTTCATATACATGTGATAGGCACTACATATTTAACCCCTTAGTGACCCAAATGCAATCTTCTGCTCATTTTGGTTACAAGCCTAGCCTGTAGTGTTCAGCCATCTCTCAATCCCCTTAAGCTCATTTTAACAGCAACGATA